TTTTAACTGGAGTCCTCCCATCAAAATGGTTAGCTTTACCTGTTCAGGGATTCTTACCTTTTTCTTATCTGCACCAGCATGATCCCTGACATGTATTAAACACTTAGTGATTAGTGCACCAAAGTTAGGAAATTAATAAATAAGCAAACTCATTATATCTGGAGATGATTCTAGAGTTGGGGGGGCACTGTTGATAAGCAGCAACTTGTGGGGTAGGACAAAAACATCAACACACTGGGGAAATGGCACTTAAAAATGCAAAGAAAAGTTGTGAATATAAGATGGGGAATACAAAATTGGCAAGATAGTTACATCCAGAAGTGCTTCTAAATGCCCATTTTCATGGGCTTCTCTCTACCAATAATTCATGTATCTGTTTCCTTAGCTCATGACTCCATTTAAAGCTAATCTTAAAATAAAGGCCTTATCTCAATATCTTGTCTCACTACTATTCAATCATTATATCCTTCTAGGTTTAATGCAAAGAGTTTCCTCTGTAACTTTTTTTTGTTTTTGCACTTAATCATTTGTTGTCTTGCTATTTTTTCCTAGTTCTATAAATTTCATTTTTAAAAACCCAACTAGATTCAAAGTTTTTTTGAGTCAAACCATAGTTTCAACCTATTTTATTTTCTTGCATTTCCTTATCAAGCTGCCTGCTTCACACAACATATTGCTTTATACTTATGTGTGTGTGTGTGTGTGTGTGTGTGTGTGTGTGTGTGTGAATTCTGTTCTCCAGCCTAGACTGAACTTCTCTTCCATGGAGGTACTTTATCATATATGAGGGTGAATAGTAGGCACAGAATAAGCATTTACTGTTGTGAAATAAAATATGCCAATAAATAACATTATACTGCCTTAAAAATAAAAGCAAAAAACCAGACACAGATATTTTAAAAAGTGTCCTGCACACTACTCATTAAGATACCTTCTTCTTTATGACTATAGTTACTGCTTTGTCTTATGAATTATGGTGTCTTCACATTTAATAAATACATTTAACAATTAAGTACTTCACACCAATATCCTTTGACTTAAAAAACTGCCAATGTATTTGTTCCTGGATTGAATAATCCAGGATAATATGCAGTTGGATTTTGAATTTATATAATTTTAAACATCCCACTGTTGTATGATTTAGAACATTTTCTAATATCACAGAATGATGACATAAATATTTCTCTCTCTAATCACATATTTTTCCATCCTGACGAATTTTCTTTTCAATATAAAGGAATGATATAAATATAATATATATAAGTGATACAGATATAACATGAATATTTAAAATATGTCAGTGTCTTAGCTAATACAAAAATATTATTTGAATTTTTTTGAAGATTTCCATTCTTTTCAGATGAAGTATTATTTTCTTAAAATTTCCCAATATTATGAAATATTATGAAATTCTTTCCAAATTAAAGGAAGAATGAATACAAGTTTAAGAACTTTTCCGTTACCACCTAAAGGTACGTAATGTGTGTTAAGTAGAAAATATTGCTTGAAAATATTTTAACGTTATTAAAAATAATTTTAAAATATTGCTTGTCTAATAATTTTCTCATTTTCAAATCTCTTACTTAAAATACTTGGGTCATACTTTTTTTTTCTCAGTATTTTCTTCTAAAATTATTTAGGTATAGTCCATTCAATGAGTAGCACTTTTTATTTGAAACTAGTGATTTGCTAACATGTTTGTATAATGGTTGTTTTCAGGTTGAAACTATAGCCCATAAGGCTATAATGTGACTTGTTTTTTTTTTTTTTAAAGAAAGGGATTACAATTTCTTAAAAGCTATTCTGCATAATGTAAACCATTGACATGTGGTCTCATTCATCATTCTCATGTGTGTTCTGTGGTTGTTACATGCTTGTTTTATAAATGCTTTCTTAGATGAGGAAACTGAGGCTCAGAAGATAAAGCAGCTTACCACAAAATTACAGGATTTGAATTAGATCTAGGTATCTCTAAGTTTCCAATTTTCCATTACATCACACTAACTCTCTATTAGTGTAGAAACCACAGGAACTGAAACACTGTAAGTGAGAGGGCATAAAGGCCAGTTACAATTATTATCATTTCTCTTAGAGACCTAGAAGTTCATTTTTTTTGTTGTTTTGTTCAATGTGCTGTCTTTGCCTGGGAAACTGAGAACCATTAGTAATGTCAACTTATAGACAGGGATTGTTTATCGTAAATTTAGTATAATCTAATTGTAAATTGTCTAAGTGCATAAATTAAAAATTGTTAAGTTATGATAGCAACTTTATAGATGAGGAAATAAAGACACAAGAAGTGGAAAAGAAAATAAACAGGAATTAATAGACATTCGGATAAGATGACTTTGCCATTGTCCTTTACTTTAGGGTTTGCTACCAAGGAAATTGGTTATAATTTTGATTCTTTGTAAGAGTCACTTATACAACTACAACTGTATAACAAAATGGAGAATATTTTCATATAAATCTCATTCTTAAGTAACTGTTTTTACTTATGAAAATCATGTCTTCCAGCTTCCATATCAAATATATCACCTCATCTTATTAAGTCTGCCTACTAGATAAATCTAGAATACTTCCCATCTTTTCTTTATCTTTACTGCTGTCTATCCAACTTCACCCCCCACTTCTCATTAGCAATATCCAAATGGTTGCAGTTTCTAGAAAACACCGGGAAGCTTTGTACCTCCATGTTGTATCACCATGTCCTCAGTTTGAAATATTCTTTCTTCAAATGCTGACTTGATATTACTCTTTTCATGACATACATTTTTCATGTGTGAATTACCCTGAAAAAACATCCCTTAACTCTCCAGATTTGATCACTTTTCCAGTGTGCTAAAATGAATTTTAAATGCGGCTTTATTATTATATTGCTTTTTGTATATTTGGCTGGTTTTATTACAAGTCACTATCTTCTGTTTCATCACTTCACTGTGTGGACAGGTATTCAAAAAATAGATTTAATGACTCAACATACTCACAGTTGTAATAAAATTAAACTAAAGCTGATGGACTACAGGGAAATATCTTGAAGACTGTGGTTGGTATATAATATAAGAGGCAAATGCTCTTTAGTAATTTGGGAATTGAAATTTAATAATTTGTTCAACTAGAAACAACTAATGGCAAATAATAGGAAAGAAAATGACTGTTTCCAATATATATATATTTCTTTGTTTTCAGTGAATTTTGTCATATTCAATAAAAACATTGTTAGACACTTCAAGGAGAAAACATAATCTACTACTTGAAAAGCAGTCATAAATTTAGTTATATTTATTTAGCCAATTTAATTAGATGGCCAAATTATGAAAAGCTGTAAAATTCTTATATCCTAAAATAATGACTGTGCTGTTTGTTTAAATCATTACTGTGTAAATTTATTTTAGAAGACAAGACTAGGAAAACAAAACTGTTTTGTCAAAATTGATAATTTATTATATATTTTAAGATTGAATGAAAAGGTGGCATTTCTTATTAGAAGACTTTTAATGCAAATGTTTGAGAATGTTATTCTAAAACAATCACTGTTAATTAGATGAATTCATAAAGAAGAAAAAAATCTGGCTTTCAAATCAATATCACAATAAATAGGATATCTTTAGAGCTGATTTCAAAGCCTTTTAGGGAATGACGCATTAATCAACTTGACAAATCTCATACACTATATTTTCAATTTTCCAGAATTATTTATTGATTCTTAGATGGTGACTGGGAAATGAATGTTAAAATAGCTCCACAGCAGTTAAAAATCCACCCCCTGCCTTCACCACCCCATGAATTCAAGGCTGTGCTTTAGTGGCTCATATATATGCCTGTAAAGTTATACTAGCCAATGTATGCTGCAGTAATTAATGTCCAATTAAAACTTGAGCTACTGCTACAGCAACTTTATGTCCTGGACTTTCCAAAAGTGTTTTCATTTCACCTTTTCTGTCCTTTGTCCCCATAAGTACAATAACCCTTCTCACACCATGAATCCTAATTTTGGATCAGAAAATATGATAACTGTCCCTTTGGAGGAAACTGATATTTTACCTCTATTAGAAAAATGACTTGTACCAAAAGTTTCTATTTGGTACTAGTAATGCAGTGTAGCTTTCTGTTTGCTATTTATGCATTAAAACTCTTTGCTTACAGGATATCATCAGTGGGGAACGGAAGTGGTTTTAAATTATAAATTGCTTAAACTTTAAAGTGAAATGTTAAAGGGGTATGTGAAGATGATCACAGTTTTGGTTCTGAAAATGAAATCAAATATAAATGAGATGTTACACATATTGAACACTTTTTGGGGAGATATTATCAGTCTTTCCAGGTTTCTTTCTAAGGTGTGTTCTACTTTCCTGACCTTAAATCATCGCAGGTGGGTCCTGATCACATAAAACAATGCCTCACACCTTTGGCTCATTTTTGCCATTAAAGAAATAAAGGTAAGCAAATCCGTCTTTTGAAAAATAAGACGTTACATGCCATAATGTGGACATCCAAACTACTAAAAGGGAAGAATTCATAATGTTGGTTAGTAGCTGTATTCCCCCCACATATTATTCTTAATTTGTTAAATAAATTATTCTACTCTAGAATTCTATTCCATGTTGACTACCATGATTTACAACAGGAAAAACCAAAGTGAGCTTGAAATGCAACAACACATTTAAATAGCATTTCTGTAGGGTTAACTTTAGAGCAATTTAACTTAAGACAATAAATACTATTTTTCAAGAGTATGAATGTCGTGCTAAAGAAACAAAACTTCTGGTCAAAGTTTTGGTCAAAGAAACAAAACCTGGCACACAACAGGTGTTGAAAAATATTTGCTGAATCAGTAAAAGATAGGATCATCTTAAGACACTTCTATTGGAGTTTACAGACATTTTCTATTTGAATACATAGCGACAATTTGATTTCCCTTTAGATGGATTTAGTGTCTTATAATTGGGAGCAGATTTGCTAGGAGATGAATATTCACTATTCTAGAATATTCTACTCACCTCTTTAGGGGCATCAGCTTCAATGAATTCAGAATAAATCATCTTGGCTTTAGAAGCCATCTTTTCTGCACTGTCTGTTTTTTTGAAGTCTTCACAGGCAAGCCAGAACTCAACATTTTCTTCACTAAACTCTGATTTTAGAAATGTTCGAAAAGCATCTAGACCAGCTATAAAATATAAAAGAGAAAAATTTAAGAAACATTCAGTGCAGTATACATAACCAATATGAATACGTTGTATGATATGAACATTTACTTAGTATTCAGTGGCAAATATTTATCATCCTTCTATATACTTATGTTTTTGTCTTTAAGTGTAGAAACCTTATTTTTGATCAGTAATCATCAACATAAAATAGTCTTGTCTCTATGTATCCAATTAGCTCCACTAACAAAGAAAACCTGTACTTTTCTTTCTAGATCTGAAATATCTAGGAGTTGCGTTTAGGGGAAAGTCTTTTTTTTTTTTTTTTATGTTTATTTATTTTTGAGAGACAGAGAGAGAGAGAGAAGGGGAGGACAGAGAGGGAGACACAGAATCCAAAGCAGGCTCCAGGCTCCGAGCTGTCAGCACAGAACCCAACACGGGGCTTGACTCACAAACCATGAGATCATAACCTGAACCAAAGTTGGACGCTCAACTGACAGAGCCACCCAGGCACCCATAGGGTAAAGTCTTGATAGCAATTACTTTATGGGAAACTGCATAGGCTTTAGCTTTCTACACCCAATGCACTAAGCCCAAATCAAGCTAATGATGTTAAAAGCAATTCCAAGTAAGAATATCTTTGTTACCTTGAGTTGGTGAGGAAGCACAATTTGATGCTAAGGGATTAGATTGTGTGGGTTTGGGCTCAAAGCAAAGAAGGAAGGACTGGCATTTATTAATTTTGGATGAATATATTGGCCAATTCTAATCTCTAGCCCAGGAAAATAATGGGCAAAATACTTGGAGTGAATGCTTTTCCTCTTGATGTGGCGATAGGCAATTATAAGTCAATGAGGCAAATAAATGGGCTTTTCCCCAATGTTACCTTAAACAAAACACTGATGTCCCTCCAATCTCCCTCATGGCACCTACTGTAACCTAGCCTGTTCATGGTGTTTTTCTCCTGCTCCCATGTATTCTCCTGAGCATGGATTTGTTCAGAAACTTTAGACCAGGGACTGCAAATAGGCCCACATACTTGCAGGCTGTTTACTTTGCCTCGATTAGTATATGCTATTTCCTTTGAATTTAATAACAACAGCTAGTGCTTGTGGCCTCTGATTCCCATATGTCTTATCTCTCCCCATTATTTTACTTTCAGTCAAATTTACACATGTGTTATTCCTTGCTCTCATAGATATTCGAGTTTATGACCACCTGTTTAGACTGTTCTTTTCTTTATTTTTTCATCAAAATGTGCCCTGAAATATTCTTCTTTGGCATATATAGAGCTCATTCAAGAAGGTAATTCTTGCTAAATTGTTTAGGGATGAGTATGGTTAGGAGTGTGCTTCTAGTTAGCAGGTAAGAAAAGTCATTATCAGATTCCTGCAGTTGATGGACTAAGCCAGTACCTTGAGTTCACATTATGCGGTTTCATAGATTGTACACTTCTGAGGTTGGTATTTGTTTATAAATGAGACTCTGGATCTCTCTGAGGAGGAAAATATACATCAGTGCTTTTGCCTCTGGGAGGGATCTTGCCTCTGGGAGGGTACGTTGGTGGATCTCTCTTCCATCTGCCACGAGGGTCCCCTAGCATGTCCTCAAAGCAGCTCTTCCCTGACTGTGTGCTTAGAGACCTGATCCTTCAAGTTCCAAAGCTGGGACTAATAAGCTTGTGGAGAATCAGGGAAAGGGAAAATTAACTAGTGAAAAAGAAAATGTTAGAGATAGTTTATGAAAAAGAAGCCAAAGTCAGTTGTTTGTAGGTTGCTGCAGGTACGAAGCAAAATGGTTTAGTGAAAGAAAATGGGAAAGGCTTCAAGGGAGCAAGATTAAAATGTCTAAAAACACTGGATTAAAAATAGATATAACCATTTTTTTTATTATTCGAAATAGCGTTGAAATAACAAGTCATGGCAAAAGGTTATCAGACACCAATTAAAATTCTCAGTAGAAATATTGGAGAGTGTGGATGTCGTTAATATGTGATCACTATAAAAAATTCAATTGGGGCGCCTGGGTGGCGGAGTCGGTTAAGCGTCTGACTTCAGCCAGGTCACGATCTCGCGGTCCGTGAGTTCGAGCCCCGCGTCAGGCTCTGGGCTGATGGCTCGGAGCCTGGAGCCTGTTTCCGATTCTGTGTCTCCCTCTCTCTCTGCCCCTCCCCCGTTCATGCTCTGTCTCTCTCTGTCCCAAAAATAAATAAAACGTTGAGAAAAAAAAAAAAATTTAAAAAAAAAAAATTCAATTAACTGCACATTTATTGCATTTAAAAATACATCCAAGAAGCTTCTGTGACACAAATTTAGGTTATAAAAATCCTCTTAGTAACACTCAATTAAAATTTCCATGAGTTTTGTCCAAACAATGATGAATTTGAGGGGTCAAAACAGAATTGATGCTAAAATCTATTTTATATAGAGAATGAAGTATACTTTAAGGATATGGGAAGAATGTAGATTCTTGTCTGGCAATATTTTATATGTGTGTCGTTAAGGTATATGATGCTTCCTCCCAGTGAGGATTATCTAAATGCATCTTAGAGAGATGGGAAGTTAGAGATCAAGAAACTTACTATTTTCTCACATCCTACCATTTTAACGAAGGACCACTCTGAGAGCAATTATCGGCTTCTCTCCCCCTGCCATCACTAGGTTTAGGGCACAATGGAATAGAATAAACAGCTAAAACGAGTTAGCTATCCTTGTCTTGAACACAGTATTTTACTGAACTCTGCTTCTATTCTATATATACAATATGAATGATCAAAAAATGTCATGTAACTTTGGAATAATATGCTACATATGATTAAAATGATATAATCTGAGAGCACTCTCTACAAATTGGAATGGCTACTGGTTAGACAAATGGAATAAACAATAGGTGTTGAAACCTATCTGAGAGCCTATGTGTGGTACCTGTAAGACATATCCCCAAGATGACAAAATAACTAGATAATTTGGTGAAATCATTTATCTGTTTAAAGCATTAAGAAGCATTTTCTTTTTGTAAGCTGTTTTTGGTATTATAAAAAGCAAAAACCAACAGCTACTCAAATGAATCTGTGTGTCTTCTACTCTATGTGGGCACGAAATAAAAAAGATCAGGAGATATGTTGAGGAAAGCATTTGCCTTCAGCTCAACATCTTCTATGCCTCTGTTCTGCGGTGTTGGCCCCTGGATCTCCCCTTCTCTGGAGCCAGCCGGATCACCACCTGCAGAGATACTTTCTTAAGGCTTTTTGTAAACCTGATCTGTCCCACTGGTTATACACTTAAGTAGAAAAGAAACACGCCATTCAAAACTTATAAAAATGCAATTCCATATCTTTGATGTCTTTGGTATATGTTCTTAATTGGATTCTAGGAGCAACGTGGATTCTTTTATGTCTATGCTTTAGGAATTAGTTATTTAAGAATCATAAAATCAGAATAATTTTGTTTAATCCAATCCAATTTTATATATGAATAAGCAACTATGAAAAATTCACCCAACTTTATTATGTTTTAAACTTTTCTAGCGACGGCTGGGTGGCTCAGTCGGTTAAGCATCCGACTTTGGCTCAGGTCATGATCTCACAATTGGTGAGTTCGAGTCCACTGTCAGGGCTCTGTGCTGACAGCTCAGAGCCTGGATCCTGCTTTGGATTCTGTCTCCCTCTGTTTCTGCCCTTCCCCCATTCATGGTCTGTCTCTCTATGTCTCTCAAAAACGAATAAACGTTAAAAAAAACTTTTCTAATATTCTGATATTTACTTTACAAATTTAAAGTGGAAATTCCATTTGATTAGTACCAACAATACTAAATTTTAAATATTTTAAAATATATGTCTCTGTAGTGCCATTTCTTTTTCCTGTATGCAATAGAACTGCTGCAAAGCAAAATTATCTATAACAGAAACAGAAGTTTCAAATGATTACTTTGAATCAAATTCCAGGGTATTTTATTTATAATTGGCCCAAATTGCCTTATTGAGCCGTATTAAGTATAAATATAAACATCCACACAGGTACATATTAATACATTTAAATATGTTTTTGTTTTCACTAGAAATTAGAATATCAGTTGAAATAAATACTTTAAAAAGTTTTTTTTTAGCTTCCAAGACATGAAGAAACAAGTCATTTATTTCAATTTTCAACTTTTCAATAGTTTGTGAATTTTTTTCAACTTGTAGCAAGAACAGTCATTATACATACATCAAATGATAATGAGTACAAAAAAATGACAAATTTCTCACTTCCTATTTGGGATTTTCTTTTTGTGTTAACGTTTTGAGTTTCTATAATCTTGTCTTATTTTAAGTCCAACCTAATTCCGTTTAGGTTTGAGACCTAAATTTGTGAGACTGTTGGAAATCTTATACTTCAAATATTGATCGAACTCATATTTTATGATGACTACAACGTTCAGAATTTAATGATTTACTTTTAATCGTTATATTTTCAAACTTAGTTGGATCTTACCTTGATTGGTTAAAAGTGTGTCCATATTTTCAGACCACGCCATTGTTTCTGTTGTTGGTGACCTGTAGAAACAACATCTACCCTTGACAATAGCATTGTGATCTTTTTCTTCTATAACCTACAGTAATATTTGAGATATGTGTATTTGTTGAGTTATGTAATTTAAAAGCACCATTAATCAAACTGCAAAAGGTAAGCAAAAATTATTTAATGTTTTTCATAGTGGACAGCAATAGCAACATAAAGTGGTATATAATTTGATATCAGCAAATTCCTTATTAATGCCTAAATGTTATTAATGCTTAAATGTTATTAATATTTGTAAATTCTTATATTCTAATAAAGGTGCAAGGGAGATATTGCTCATGGTTCTATGAAGTATATTGAGTTTTTCTCAACTATAAATATATTAATTATTAATTTACATGGCATTACTCTAGTCTATTTCTGAAAAGTTTTCATGATAGCAGTAGTGATGAGTGAACTATTTTCTGAGTTTTCACAATATATAAAATTATCCATGTCATAATTGTGTATATCAAAAAAGTAAAAGAAAATTTCAGTTAAGAATTTCTAACACGTGATGATCTTGAAAGTATTTATTTATAGTATTTTGAGAAGATTTTACCCCACTCTGAGACAGACCTTATTTCTCCTAAGACTGGTATGCTTCCCATTCTGGGATGATTTATTTAAATCTAGGTATGTGTCAGGACAGAGTAATATCTTTTCCAAGGAAGTCAAAAAATTTATAGACTTAAGTCTTCTGAAGAAGGTATACTTTTGGGGATATGATGTAGAAATAGTAAATCAGGTTTAAGATATAAATTTTCTGAGATGCAAATATATCATGCATTATTCCCCTTAATAAACTAAGATCCTGATGAGATAAGCTCCCAACCATAGAAAGCATCTGCTACCCAGAAAAAAAACTTAGATCATGTAGCTGTGATGTGCAAATGACCTACTTATGGAAATGCATGGGCTAATTTTTGAAAGTTTTTATTAAAACAATTGATAATAAAATAGAGTCTCATATCTAGTAATTCTTATAAATTTTACATTTGCATGTTAAGGTGACTAATCTTGAATACGCTTTGTGAAGTGATCTCTATGCTTTTATATCTATTACTTCCTATAATTTGCTGCCATTTTTATTATTTGTGTTGGGATTGAGTGTGCTTTCTTCTGTGGTTGCAGATGTGGTTCTATTTTCAGATAATAATGGCTGTCCTCATTAGAGGGTGCACAGAGAGGGCTCTGTGACTGGGAATTCATTTTACTATCTCCATTACTTATATTTCCTGTCTGAGATTTCTTTGCTGGTGGTAGACAGATGATTTTTCTTTCTCCCTTGATTTATTAAATCTTAGGGACACAAGATTTTCTGTGAAACCATTTTGAAATTGTGGGTTTTCATTTAAACGGACACTTAAAAAATTTAGTTGTTCAATTTCTATTTTTCATTAATGGAGAATGGGACTGAAACTTAGATTTAAATCTACATTGAAGAGCTTTTGTGCAGTATAAAACCTGTTACTCTAACAAGCTTATGTGATAATTCATGACTCAAATATTAGATCTTGTAAGAATTCTACCGAATAGTGCTAAAATCATCACATGGTCTCCTAATGTGCACATGTCTAAAAATATCTCTATCTGAAGACTGATATTTAGTGGTTAACAGATTATTTTTAAAAAGCCTACTTTCCATGAGTGGAATACATGTTACTGAATAGGGCAGTGAGGAGTTTTGAGACAAAGCCTGGTTGCACAGTACACCCACTTTGAATGAGGAACAGCCACCAAACACACACACACACACACACACACACACATACACACACACACAAAAACAAACAAACAAACAAACAAAAACCACTGAGAAACAATCTAGGCAAAAAGCATTCAGGGATGAAAATACACTTCCCCCATTGTGTAGGTTCTCTGATGAAATATTGTTATTTTCCACTAAGTATGTCTGGTCAAAAAAATGTTTGTTGAACATAGAAACAAAGAATGAAGGAATGACCAAACCCCGAATAGTGGCGGGTATTAAAACCTTCAGTGGAGGCAGCGCAATGGCTTTCAAGATGCTGGTAAATGACAGTGATAAGATGATTATTGAAAGTTATAGTTGAATGGCATTAGCATCAAAGCGTGTAATGGTGGAAGGAAGAGGAGACATGATGCGAAAGCATCATTGGGAAGCGACAGACTACAGACCTCACTCCCATCCCTAAGAGATGTGAAATTGGAGAAAATGGACAAAATCCATTCTGAAGTCATCAAGGCAAGTCATGTCATTTAGGGAGAGCCAGATTTTGCATACACTGAAAGCAAAAGGAATATTCAGTGAAGATCTTATCAGAAGTAAAGGAGTCTTAGGAATGGAAGTATTGAAGTAAATGGTAGCTATTCTAGTTATCTTCATTAGTGTAGGAAAACAGTAAAAACAAAGGAAGAAAACAAAGCCTGAAAATGGTGTGATACCAAGGACAAGAGAAAAAATGTAATGTTTTGAGTTAAAGAGATATACTAGAATATAATTTTCTACAGATAGAGAATATTATAGGTAACAGAATTAGAGATACTGGGATATTCTAGTATTATTTATGGTCCACCAAATGCTGCATTATTATAGAAGGTAAATTTGCCTTTCAGCTCTCTGAAAGAATACCTCTGCAGGTGTGTGATAATTCCTGGAATGCTCTCAGCTAACAATTTTCTAACCTATTTCAGGTTTGACTTGAAAGGTTCAATTTTGACTACCTGATATGATGGGAGGGTTGGTGGTAACACAGTATTTACTTTTCAGAAGCTAGGTGAAATGCAACTATTTAAAGAAATAATGTTCTTAATTTTCTCTTTAAAATTTTAACTTCTGGGTTGATTGTATATTTACAATTCTGTGGAAGAGTAAGTTATTGTTATATATGAATAAGCTGAAAGACAATATTTTTAGTAGCATCAAAATGTACAACAATGTATTGAATGCAATCTATATACCACATGGTGTTCAGCATGTCATATACTTTACCTTATTTAATCTTGTAAATGACAATGTGTTTTCATCCTATGTTACAAATGAATAAAGAGCCTCAGAGATGCTAATGACTGGCGCAATACCTTGCATATACTAATAGGCAGTTAGAATTCAAGCACAGGTATATCTCCTTATGACCCAAACTCTTTTTACACTTCTTCTTTGAATGAATAGGTCAATATGCATATGCGTGTACTTTGTTCATGTTTTGGAACATTTATAATAAATAATTTGAAATTGCATTTTCTCTGATAAAGTTTATTGCATTTCACACAAATATTTCCTCTAAATAATAGCTGAATTGCAGTAACTGAGGACTCAATAGAAACTTTTCAGAAGACAGATTCTTAAATGTCACACGTTATCAAATGAAAATAGGACATTTCTCATGTTAGACTTGAGAATTATGTTTTATGTTTTAAAAAATGCAACCATATAAATGTTAAGAAAGAAACTAGCGAATTCAAATTGGTGAAAAAAAGAAGGTGGCTAATTTAAAAATGTACTAACTTGGTTAAATTTTACTTGACACGTGTTACCTTGAAAAAACGGACAATGTGCCTCTCTGCTATTTCTCTCTCTTTTTAAATTTTGTTTTGATTTTAGTTTTAACTGGAACAGAGCTTTTGTCTGACTGTCTGAGTGTGTGCATTTCCTGAATAACTGTGATGCATAATCAGAGTAACTTTTTGTATGTGTATGATTCGCCATGAAAATTCACCATGTATCTGGAGCCAAAATTGCACTTAGTGTTTCATGGGGTTTTGGCTGATTTCCTTTCTGTTTCCTTCATTAAGCGACCACCATCAAGGCCAGCATTCCCCATATTATGTGTCCGGAGAAGAGCCAGGCCAGATGGGAACTGCGTGAAAGCTACCAGTTATCTTGCTAATTGTGCCAGCTAGAACCAGTTGTATTGCATTAAAAAATGTGGAATCCAACAACTTAGCTGTTCACACTCAATTAGCAGTGTGCCGGAGAATGGGAAATTCAAGCAAGGGGTCCATGTGCTCCAGGAAGTGACAGCTGCTTCCTTACCCAACACTTAATATCTGTTTTCAAATTTCTCAATAAATAGTGCAATAATGAATAATTTTTGCAAGGATCAGACATATCTATGTCTCGAACTCTTAACATTTCATTATTTTGAAAAGCTTCACATAAAGAAAGCTCACCGGTTTTTCTCCCTTTATAACCTTGTTTTATATTAGCAAATATAAAGAGCTAACTGCAAAAGCAAGTCATGAGCTGTTGACATATTTTAGAAAAGAAGAAGAAATCAATAGAGAAAGGGGAAGAAAATAAATCAGTAAGAAAGATAACAATTAGCATATTTATCAGAAATGAAGGAAACAAAACATCGAGACTAATGAAGGCTCAAGTGTTTCATTTGTACCTCTTCTGAGATAAAAATAGCTTTAAAAGGCAACTCACTTCACTGGCATTTTTCGTTCCACTGTCTGACTGTCACAGATGATGTCGAATTTCTCTTTCTGACTGATCTTCAAGCTGAAGGTAATGTGACAGCAGGAACATTACAATTAGTATGCAAATACCTATCCCCTGGGTTACAAATTGGCATTCTTTAAATCATGCTATGCTCAGCTCTTTTCATTTTGTTGTTAACTTTTCACTGGTCAAAACACTTAAACTTCTAAGTAACAAATAACTCATTGAATAAATGTGACAGTTCTCTGAGTCTGTGGCATAACTGAAATAAATTCCATTTGAAAGTTTGGTTCTTAAAATTCATATACATCCATTTACAAGACAACTATTGTTCATAGGAGGTTAAATCAACTCAGAAAAAAAGTATATAAAATTTAATATTTGTCTTTAGGTATTTCATCGATCAATTTTTCCCTCTGTTCTTTGATTTTCAGAGAGTCTTAGGAAGACTGTACTTTTAATACGCTTATCTTCAACAGCTATGTAGGTTTAAGTATTTTTACAATTTTACTCATGGACTAAAATGTTCTAGTACGAGGCATTATGTTTTTTTCAAAACATATTCACTTTCACTTTTTTTTTTTTTTTTTTTTACCTAAACACACGTATCTCTATTTCTTTTAACCATGAATCTCTTGGTATGTTCTGCCAATGTTTCTTTATGCAACGCTGATATTTAAGTTCATAATGTTTGAATATATTTATTAAAATACAGACCATATATTGTATTTTTGTTTGTAGTCAGTTTTTTACATGTAACCTGGTGCTTCATCAAGCCTTTATCTCAATATAACAAAGTTCTTCAGTAAAAAATTGCACCAGTATATATTTATGACCTTCAAAGTAAATTTAACACTCCTTAAAGATTGATGATTTTCAGGGTGGGAGAAAGAAAGGAGTCAGAAGACAGCAGAAAATCTGCTTCTCCCTGACTTAGCATTGAAGTATCCCCATTTAGTTGATCTATAGAAATGCCTGAGGGCGCCTAGTATGCAAGTGGCCCTGGGCTAATGAGATTGACAGAAGTAGGAGAGATGACCCAGAAAGTCAGTGTATCATTAAGAAGGGTTGTCATCAATTAGCTCAATTCATTTTGTTAATTCAAGCACCATTAAGTAATGTTCTTATGCAAAAACTAAATCATTAAACATATTTAGACTTTTTGTTTTGCTGAAGGGGTATAATGAAGTACTAACTTTATAATATATACTCGAACATGCAGACTTTGGAAAAAATAAACCGTCAAAATGTAAAGACCCTCTTGGTAAAAGCCATGCTAAGTCTGTGAGACACACAAGCAGGAGTAGGCTTATTTTGCATTGAAAAAAAATTGAAATTTCTATTTTGATTTCAGTGTAGTTGCAAGAATGCTCTTTCTCGTACATCCTTCCCCAACTCACACTTATTATTTGTCTAATATACACTGCTCATTTCTTACAATCTTCTTTTAATTTTTCAGGAAAAACTAAGAATTGGATGTTATTTATCAAAACGAAAGGTCATAATAAATGAACAGGTGAGTAAATGAACTGTCTTCTTAGGCTGAATGATTCCCTATGGTGTTCAATACATCTTGACCAAAGATCATAATGCATACATAGTATTGTTGAAACAGCTAATGATCACCACCTCGTAGTCCCAGGGGATTCAGGCTCCATAGTCAGAGCTCATGCCTAGTGATGCAGGTGAAAAAATGGCCCCAAAGATGTCCATGTCTTAGTGCCTGGAACCTGTGAATATATTACCCTTCATGGCAAGGGTTTGTTTGTTAGCCTAGATTATCCAGATGGGTCTTGTATAATTACAAGATCCTTACAAGAGGGGGCAGGAGGGGTGAAGCCTGTAGTAGGATATGGGAAGCCAGAAGCAAGGGGTTGGAGTGATGTATGAGAAAGGTGCAAGAACCAAGCAGTGCAGGTGTCATCTAGGAGGGGAAAAGGCCAGGAAGCACATTCTCCCCTCAGAGCTTCCAGAAGCAACCAGCCCTGCCAATATCTTCATTTTAACCCAGTGAGACTGATTTTGGACTTTGGAGCTCCTAGACTCTAAGATAACAAATTTGTATTATCCTAAACCACTAAGTTTGTAATATTTTGTTACAGCAGCAAAAGAAAACTAATACATCCAAGGAACTCCAGTCTTAAAACCCTGCTTAAAAGAAGGTAGGATGAAATAAAATGAGCATACATGCTGACACTTGAGCGGTGAGTTCATATGTAGTATGAACCCTTTCTGCTGAATAGTGACCTTGACTTCTCTGAGACTTTTTGCTACAGAATGGATATAGTACCTTTCTCACAGGTTATGGTGTGAGACTAAATGGTAATATACTAAGCCAAAGCATCTTACATAGTGCTATTTATATATGTTTTAAAATTTTCTTCTCGGGGCGCCTGGGTGGCGCAGTCGGTTAAGCGTCCGACTTCAGCCAGGTCACGATCTCGCGGTCCGTGAGTTCGAGCCCCGCGTCGGGCTCTGGGCTGATGGCTCAGAGCCTGGAGCCTGTTTCCGATTCTGTGTCTCCCTCTCTCTCTGTCCCTCCCCCGTTCATGCTCTGTCTCTCTCTGTCCCAAAAATAAAAATAAAAACGTTGGAAAAAAAAATTAAAAAAAAAAAATAAAATTTTCTTCTCATCTCATTTGACATTCACAGAACCATTATTGAGATATAGCATGTGTCTCTATGGACAATAGTACCATCATACAAGGTATGATATCATACCATATCATATCATAAGGATATGAAATTTATTCACAAATTTTTTGTTTTTACATTCTGTAAAAAAATTGTCGTAAGTGGTATAAGGATGCAAAATTTCATTATTAAATATATATATATACATATATATATATATATATAATACCATTTATTTATTTTTGAGAGAGAGATGGAGTGTGAGTGGGGGAGGGGCAGAGAGAGAAGGAAACAGAATCCAAAGCAGTCTCCAGGGTCTGAGCTGTCAGCACAGAGCCAATGTGGGGCTGGAACTCACGAACCGCGAGATCATGACCTGAGCTGAAGTTGGATGCCCAACCAACTGAGCCACCCAGGTGCTCCTGCAAAATTTCAATCAGACGGTATAAAGTTGGTAATTTTGGAACATTAGAATGGTAAGGTTGTGTGTGCAATGAATTGGAAGAATGTGAGAATAAAGACAGGCAGGAGAGTAGAAGTATAGTGTGGGGGTCCATGCGTGAGATGTCAAGGGCAATTGGAGAGGGATGGAAAAGTGAACATCAGGGCTGTGGGGCCTGGCTAGAATGGATAGAATAGGGAGGGTGAGAGGAACAGATTTCAAACCTCATAGCCTGAAAGAATGGATTTCCCACAAGTGATCACAGTAATAACAAAAGAAAAGTAGGTTTGGGAAGTTGATAGGTAAAAGAAAGTTTAGAGACATGCAGAATGATTATTAGATATAGTTTGATTAACTTTTCCTGTCAGACAGAGGTCATAGCATTTTGACAGCCTACTCAAAGACAATAAAAGAATCTATATGGAGGTTCTTTTTTAGCCTAAGAAAGCCATTGCTATCTACACTACTAAAGGTTGGAGAAAGATAATTAAATAGGAATTTAATTATGGTAGTTGCATAATTTAATCTAGGTGAAAACATACGATTTTATCTTGGTGCAAGTTTCAGACAATATTCATATTTTAAAAAAGATGTTGAATTGATTGTGAGGATGTTGTGAAGGATTTTAGGGTAAAACAATAACAGTTAAGGGGCGCCTGGGTGGCGCAGTCGGTTAAGCGTCCGACTTCAGCCAGGTCACGATCTCGCGGTCCGTGAGTTCGAGCCCCGCGTCAGGCTCTGAGCTGATGGCTCAGAGCCTGGAGCCTGTTTCCGATTCTGTGTCTCCCTCTCTCTCTGCCCCTCCCCCGTTCATGCTCTGTCTCTCTCTGTCCCCCCAAAAAATAAATAAACGTTGAAAAAAAAATTAAAAAAAAAAAAACAAAACAATAACAGTTAAAATAATTCAACATTTAGATGTGCCTGGCTGGCTCAGTTGGTAGAGCACTCAATTCTTGATCTTGGAGTTGTGAGTTCAAGTCCCATGTTGGGTGTAGAGCTTACTTAAAAAAAATAATAATTGAGGGGCACCTGGGTGGCTCAGTTGGTTAAGCAGCTGACTCTTGATTTCAGCTCAGGTCATGATCTCATGGTTCATGGGATCATGCCCCGCATCAGGCTCTGCTCTGACAGTGTGGAGCCTGCTTGGGATTCTCTCTCCCCCTGCCCCTTCCCCACCTGTGCTATCTCTCTCTCTCTCTCTACCTGTCTTTCCCTCAATAAATAAAAAAAAATAATAAAATAGCAATAATTGAACACTTAAAAAGTATCAGAAACTTCTTAAGCATTATCTAGCTGGGCATTATGTTATGAGATCGACTATATTTTTATCCCCATTTTACAAAGGAGGAAATTAAGACTCAGAGAAGTTAAATAACTTGCTGAAGTTGGCACAGTTGAGAGTGGTAAGGATACAGGGAGGCTGTGCGGTGGGACTTGTTATTTTAGCAGTGGTGATAGTTAACACCTATGAGATTTATTTTAACAAGAGAAATAGCACAGGAAATAGAGCCAAGAACCAAAGGCTTGCCTATTTATTTATTCAATAAATATTTAAATACTTTAGTAACTTCCATATGTAGAGTAATGCTTCCATGGATGTGGGAAGAACATGGCACAGTAAGTTCAGGAAAGGCTAAGGATACAGAGTGGTTCCTTTAAGTTTTTTAAGAACACTGTTCATAGCATTTTTGGAAACAGAAAGGATGATCAGGAATGTCAGATGTCTAAGAGGGGTTAAGGAGGATGAAGAGAGAGCAAATTTACCAAGGTGGTCATTGAAAAAATAAATAGGACCAACAAAGTTGAGATTAAATGGATGACACTTCCCAACAAAGTTCCACTGATTCTTAGTCCATATTATGCTTCTTATTCAAATTATAAGGAAAAAGGAAGAATTATTACTATTATTATTAGTTTTCT